GCGGCCGTCGAAACATGCCGCCAGGGCCGCCTGATTTGGCGACAAAGCGCGCCGACTTAGTGTGGAAACGGGACCCGTTGCTAATCCACGCGCCTTTATCCACGCTTGCGAGGAGGAGGAGTCGGAGGAGGAGGAGGCGGAGGAGGCAGAGGAGGTAGAGGAGGCGGAGGAGGAGGAGAAAGAGGAGGAGGAGGCGGAGGCGGAGGAGGAGGAGGAGGAGGAGGAGGAGGAGGAGGAGGAGGAGGAGGAGGAGGAGGAGGAGGAGGAGGAGGGGGGGAGAGGCGTTTGCGAAGCCACGCGCCCCAACCCACGCTGGCGCCTCCTCGGGGAGAGAGGCCCGCGCCCCCCCCCTTCCCCCCCCCGGCGAGACGGGCGCCCCCCCCCCCTCCCCAGGCCCTCCCCAGGGGCGCCTGGCCGCCGCCGCCGGGCGCCGCTCGGGCCTGCGGCGGGCCCGCGGTAACGGCCGCGCCGCCCGGGGCGGCCTCTGCCGCGAGGGGCGGCGTGCGAGCGAGGCCCGCCCAAGACGAGGCCAGCACGAGGACAGAGAGGAGCAAAAAAACACGGACACTGAGCTGCCCCGATCAGAAGGGGGATGAGGCGGAGGACCAGGACGATGAATGGCAATGAGGAAGGCGCGGGACGAGGAGGAGGAGGAGGAGGAGGAGGAGGAGGAGGAGGTGGAGGACCAGTGTAAACCCCAGAGTCACCAACGATGGTGGAATAAACCCTCCCCCCCAAGCTTTCTCTCCATTGCGCAACACGCAACACGTACGGTGATGGCATCGGATAAGGAAACTTTCGCTAAGGAATCCAGGGTCTGGAAGCCAGTGGAGAGCCAATCGTGGATTGGCCATGGATATCACCACCGCCCTCATCAGAAAAGGGACCCTCCAGGGTCTGAAGCCTCCTGGGCACGTTCCTAAACAAACGTCTCCACCGTGGCCTATTGATGCGGAGCTTAGCGCATGCCCTGAAAAACGCAGGTCTGACGCGATGCGTTCGCCGAAACGTGGGCCAATACGTGGAGTCGGCACGCAACGCATTGGCACGGCCGTTTTCAGCATGGTACGTGTTGCGTATCAGAACGTGCGTACCGAGGCAGCTTCTGGCCATCGCTTGGACGTCCATTTCCTGTTTTTTTTTGGTTTCGTGCGTGGATGCTCCTCGATGGTCCTTGCCGAGGAAAAAGCGCACTCGTCCGAGCGATGCCAGGGCTAAGCACTGGCATACACTCGTGGCGCTCCGCGCGGAGTCCTTGGACCTGCACGGGGCACGCCTCCCTGGCGCGCTCCGCGCGCCAGGGGCCCCAGCGCGGGTCCAAGAGAACCCGCGCGGAGCGCTAGCAGTTTACGTTGATGGCGTTTCTCTTCCTCGAGGACGACACCGGGCGGGGATAGCAATCGAGAGCCTCGGAGATCCCGCGGCTCTGGAGGATGTCTCGAGCGCCGCGGCCTTATCGGGGCGATCTGGAACGCTGTGGAACGCCCCGAGAGCGTTCTGGAACGCTCTGGAAAGGATACATTCTCGTCCCAGCCCGGGCCAGATCACCCGCAGATCTCAAGACGGCATGATTTGACCCTGATTCCCATGACCCCCTCGCGTTGCGAAGAACATGCGACGTTTTCTCACTATTCTCGGCCTCGGGGGACCCTTGCTGGGCCTCGGGACTTTGGGGGTCGACGTTATGAAAAAATCCCGACGTCGGGGGTCGTTTTTTTTTTTCACCGCGAACACCTATCCGAAACATCCCCCGCTCCGACGAAAAATTAAACATACTCAAACAATACCCCCAAATAGTCAACAAATCCTACAAAAATCGCCCCCAGACTATCTTTTGACTATTTTTGAATACTCCTCCCGTAGAGGGACAGACCCGAAATCCCAAAGGGGGGGCGGGGAGCCCGAGACCGCCTGAGGTGCCGGGTGCCGTTCCGCCCGAGACTTCCCTCGAGTTGCTCGGAGGTCGTGCTCTCGCCTCGGTGCGGGCTGCACTCCTCTTGCCGTCGCTCGGACGTCCATTTCCCGTGCATTTGTCGGTTTCGTGCGTGTGTTTTTTTTCGCTCGATGGTCCAGGATGGTCCTCGAGGGTTCTCGCCGAGGAAAAATGCACACGTCCGAGCGATGCCAAGTCCTTTTTCCACCGCAGAGGCCTCCAGAGGGCCTAGAGCGTCCCGAGGCCCCGGGCCCACGATGGAGCCGCTACCCCTGCGGCACTTGAAGAACTCCACTGGCGCAGCGTGCACGCACGGCGCAGGCACGCGCAGGCGGCGCGAGCCGCCGCCGGCCTTCGCCACTCCGGCGGGGACGGGCCAACGACCCTGAGGCGCCGTGGCGGAAGGCAAGTCAATGTTGGCTACACTTTTGATATGGACGGCCACGGTCCCTCTCCAAAGCACGCCACGGTGCACACATGGCCGTGCTCTCACCCCATGTCCCCATATCGTCGACCTCCCGCTCCTCGACCGGCCTCTTTCACCTCTGTTGCTATTCGGTGCTGTGC